CATCAATCCAATATACCCACCACACACTGTCAGCGAGAAACTACCAGATGCTTTGCAAGTGCTTTCAGTGGCCTTGTGGCCACAACTGCACAATGTTTGTCCTGCTTCAACCAAGATCAGGACAACAATAAGGAGTTTCTTGGATGGGTTAGAATAGCTGCTGACCAACAGAAAGGCTAGGGGTGGGTTTGGGGGCAGAAGGAGAGGATGAAGCATCTCTAGAAAGATAACAGGCCTGCAACAGATGGCAAAATCAAGGAGGTCTCTTTCAAAACTGGTAAAGTGACCTTGGAATCACCCCCAACACGGGGAAGTTTCTAAATAATCCTTAGTGACTCTTGTTGTTGATGCCTACACACGCAGTGAATGGGCTTTTCAGAGGAAGGCCTCAATGTTTGTCAGCATGTTGGATTGTATGGAGCTAACAGCCCTTCATGGACAATTGATTCCCTGGCACTGTGCCCAGAACATGGAGAAGCAGTGAAAGAAACCGGGAACGTGTTCATGAGTGAGTAATCACTGAATGCTGACTCAGCATCGTGTCACTTACAGTCAACTCATCCAGGCTGACACGAAGAGAGGGGAAAGACCACTGGTAAAAACCTCTTCCCCATCCCAGTGTTTCACCCATCCCCATGCTGAGCAAAGGTCTATGTCAGATATCCCCACTGCCCCTGAAAGAGCCCCTGCATTTAAGTGTCTGCCCTCCTGACCTGTCTGGTGGGGGTTACCCCCATAGCTCTAGGCTTTGGAATCCCCCTGTCCTGAGGCGATGAACAGGGAGCTCCCTCCAGGTACATTAACAGGTAGGTTCAAATCAGCTGCCCCTGCTAATCCCTTTGGGAGCTGGAAGGGAACTATGCCAATGTGACAGGCTGGAAGCTTCACCTGCCTATTTATGTTGGGCATATGACATGGGATTTATCTGCTTTGTCTCCTCCATGGGAGGAGAATGTTCCTGAAAACACCCTTCTTCACTGTGATGTCTACCATCCCCATAGAGGGGGCCTTTTGGGGACATTGTCTCATTATGGGCTATAAACTAAGGAACCCGCATTCTAATCAAAAGAGCTGTGGTCTCCCCATGACCCTCTGAAGAACAGTGGCAAAAAGACAGGGGGCCTAAAAAGGCATGACTCTGGGGCATTGGTGACTGTGAAGCATCTGCAGACTCAGACCAAGCAGCTCCCTCCTAGCTGCACCAAGTATGCTACAGGACAAGTCTGTACAGGTGTCTGTCCTCAGGCAACACATCACAGGCAGAGCCCTCTAATCACTGAAGAGGGCTGCAAAGTGATGCTGGATAGATCTAGTTGTATCCCAGGAGAACCTGTCTCCACCCTCAACTATCTGAATACATTCACTAGGCCCGAGAGCTAAAGAATGCTCTTGTGGTAGTAGTGAGTCAGGCTAGCCTTCCCTAGTTCCTGCTACCTCAGCAATGCCAGCTAGGCTGGACAGCATGGAAAGGGAAGAAGAAACATAAAGGATGCTGCTGCTGTGAAAAGCACATGATCAGGCATGGTATGATCTAGCAGCAAGGGAGAAGCATGTTGAGGGTGGGTGCAAATGATGGCTCAGAGGAGTAGGAGAGGTCTTGCTCACTGCATGGATCCTTTCCAAGGAGTCAGAGGAGCACCTTCCCCCACTCCACCCCACCCAGCTGCTCTCCTGAATCAGAGCCCTTCAGCACATGACTGTCTATCACACACCCCACCCCAATAAGCACACTAGCTCTAGCAAGTGCAATCAGGGCTGCTAGCAGCAGTTGCAGAGAAGGGCCAGACAATGGGATTTTACCAGGTCAAAACCTTTTAGGGCTAAAAAAGTTAAAGATATTTACATGGCTATGGTGAACAGCAGAGAATCGACCAAGAGCCATCAGTGAGTGCTGGGTCACTGAACAAGGCAGGGACAGACACCAGTGAGTACAATCCTGCTGCTCAACCATTAGGAGGCCCCCAAGTCAAACTCCTGAGACCACCTCTAACCTGAAAATCAACCCCCCCACCCCACTTGCATATAGGCCATAGGACCTTACCTTATGTGTTTGGCACTATTGCAAACAGCACTGCATCTCACTTCATTTCAAGGTACAAAGCCAAGGTGCAACTGAGACTATGCTGAAAATCCACTGGGAAACAGATTCCACCTGCTGCTTATTCCTGCCTGAGAAGTGACACATGTACATTGGCAAACAAAACATCCCCAGCTTCCAGGTGGCAGGGGTAAGGAGGAACTCACTCTCCACTAAATCTTTTTGGGTCCCACAACTACTTCTGGCACTATAGAACAAAAATCCATGACAAACTTTCCCACCCCCTTCATTGCAGTTCTTCCACCAATGGGACATTTCTAAATAGAGGATTTTCATCTTTCAGCAGTGCCAGCAATGGTCAGAGACACCCCACACTATGCTCCTTACAAAACCACTTCACCTCCATCTCCTCAAAACCAGGAACCAGCTGTCATGAAGGTGAGGTCACTGGTTACCTCTCCTAGTGGAGACTGAACAAAGTGACTGAAACTGGTCCCGAGAACTGGATCTCAAGAACGTGACACAAACACAGAAGCACTCACTGGACTTGCCTTTCTTCCCTGCTGCCTCACTGGCTTTTGCAGCCAGAAAAGCAAAGAGAAACTTGCATGCTCTTTAAAAGGAATGTGAAACATGTGTCTACTGCATTCATTGCTAGAAGTCACAGGTGGGCAATTGCAGACAAGTACACCCAGGCAGCATGCACAAGAATGAGACTGCTGGTCTCACCCTTCTCCTCGTTTCATCTCATCTCCTTGGCCAGCCCACATGGAAGGGGGCAGCCACCTTCAACATCAACAATGCAGTAGTTCCTTTTTAAACCTCTGGAAAGCATGAACGTCCCCATCATGCTTGATCACGCAATTGCAGCGAGACTCACAGAATCAGGATTCCTGGGTTCTACTCTGAGATCTGTCCTCAAGTGCATGAGAGACTTTGATTCACATTCTATCACTGCCTCAGTTTCCTAATCTGCAACCTTTGAAGTAATAGGAAAGACAAGCTGCAGCCCTTATTCATTAGACCTTGGATATTTGAATTTGTGCTTTGAGATCCACAGATGACAGAAGCCATCTGTTTCTATATATCAAACTAGCTGCTTTGAACAGAACACTGATATTTCAATCAACCCACAAATAAATGCACACATGCAGAAACGAATGGAGCTGCAGTCTGGATATTTCTTTGCTTTTTGAACACCTAGACTCTAGGGTCACCAGTTTTTATTTGCTCAACTGTCCGATGCACCCTGTCCAAGGATGCTCACACTGGACACTAAATGGTACTGCTCCTTGCTTACCTTCACAGATCATCACACTTCTCACAAACTCACCTAAAGATCATTCCATTCACTTGCTTTCACATGGTCTGTGTGAAACCCAGTCATCTCTCTCAATGCTGAACTCCCAGGTGGAATCAACAATCCTGTCACACCCAGGACTATCCCCCAATCTGGTGACAAGTGGCATGGCCAATAAATCCAAATAGTCCAGAGAGGCTACAGAGGCAGATGTCCCCAGACACAGTCCTAAAATACAGCTGTAGTACAACGGGTCAGCAAGTGATGCATTGCTTCAAACTGGATTCCTACACAGAATTGAGCGTGTTTCTACTTTTCATAATGATTTTATAAAGCTAGCAGAAGCCAGCAGTCAGCTCCAATAAGGCATTTTTAGAGGACCTGGGGGGAAAAGGTCTTTCTAGATCCTAGTTCTAAAATTCTAGTAAGCACCCTACTTCCAAGACAAATTCAGATCAGCTCCTCAGCTGAACAGCCTGCCATTTAGCTCTTCTTGGGCAGGGTTCCCACACACTCTCCCACTTTTCTTGTTCACTCTATCACAGTCCCAGGGCAGGGTAGCATCCAGCCTCCAGCCAAGAGGAGGCTAACTCCATCCAGCACGTTACAAATGTGCTCCTCCTCTTTCACTTGGAGGTTAGGCATGTCCCATTGTGCCAACTAGGTGAGTGGGGGCCCAGGAATACAGTGGCCTGAAATTAAACTCCCAGCCCCAGGTAAGAATTAGCAGAATTACTGAAATTGGACCTCACCGGAGCAAAGAATCTGGTTCATGAATCTGCAAATCACCCTACCTACCAGTCTTTTGGCCATACCACTAGGCAGGCTGAAGGAGAACTTACCCACTGAGGACCACAATGAAGTCCATGACGTTCCAGCCATTCCGCAGGTATGAGCCCTTGTGGAAAACGAATCCCAGAGCAACGATTTTAATCCCAGCTTCAAAACAAAAGATCCCGATGAAGTAAGGCTCTGTCTTCTCCTGCAGAAAGGGACCCAGCACATTGGTGAGAAGGGAAGAGGCAGCAAATGTCCAGGGCACATGTACGGCTTGCAGCCATTTTACCAGTATTTAAGACTGAGCTGTCATGCCCAAAATTCCCTGCTGGGCCCCGTTCAGAGATCCCTCTTCCCAGCACAAGCCTAAGCCCCTCTTTAACCCACAACACTGAATGATAAGCTGTGGAGTTCTGCCTCTGCCTCACTTGCCTCCCCCTCTCATGTCCAGCTGGCAAAATCTTTCTGAAATCCCCATTTATAACAAGTGCCCCAGGTCCACCCAGAGGACAAACTCCCCTATCCCCAGGTATTCTACAGGAGGCAGTGGAGGGGTAAAATCTTCCTGAGGCATAAAAGTCCCAGAGAAAAAAGCTCCCACCCACTTCTGCCCTACTCCAAAGCTGGCCCAGGATCTCCATAATCAGGCAGATGGCAAAGGGACTGCACCTGCAGCCTTCTGATAAGCAGTAGGCATCGAAGGGTTAAACCTCAACAACTGAGGTCATGTGCATGTAACAAACTTCCCAGGCCCAGCAATGGTGCCTCAAGTGCATGAGGCTGCTCTGTGGAAGCTGCCTTCTAAACCAGAAGCCCAGGTAGCCATCTCTGCACAGCACTTTGAACAAGCTATTTAGCACCCTGAGGACCTGAGGCCCACCTGAGCCTATACTGCTTCCAGCATAGGAGACAGCCTTCCTGGATCAGCATGGTACACCTGAAAGCACTATTGACAGGCATGGTAAGTTTACAGCATACACACAGCCTGATGGACTGGTACGGGTTCCTCACCAGGCTCAACACCCACTAACACCGAGACAACCCCAGAGCTGATTCCAGAGGAGAAGGAGGGCATGAGAGAAAGGCACTTACTAATCTTCGGGACATAGGTGTCTTGTCATCTCCCGGCAGGTGCTGCTCCAGCGCCAGGACGATGCAGTTCGCAATGATCGTGGCCAGAATCATGTATTCGAAGGGAGTGAGAGGGTGAGTTAAGGAACTGGAGTAAAATAGCAGAGGTGGAACAAGCCTCTAATCTACTGCCTGCCTTTCTTCCTCAGCCTTTGTCACTTCATTTGCTGGCCACTTTTTGTCAAATAATCATCGTTTCTCCCTGCACGTGCACACAGAGGGAGCAGCAGGGAGATAAGCTTTCATTTACCACTGCTCCTGAGCAACAGGGTGAGACCTACTGACAAAGCTGTCTGGAAATGACAAAAGCGATGAGGAAAGAGCTGAAAGCACCACTAAGCACTTCTACACCTTCCAGCAAGCAACCTGCTGGGGCCCAGCCCTCCCCTGTCACCAGTCAACAGCAAAGCCAGCACTGGAGACCAAAGGGGACAAGTGCCCATGGTATCTAGTACACCAGGTAGCTGCCAGAAAACCAAGTCAAGCTCCTCAGAGAGGAGGCAGGAGGGATCCTTAAACTGGGAGCATGCAGGAAACAGGCTTATATCATCCAGGACCAGAATACAGAGACAGGTATGTACAAAGGTAGAAGTTTCATCACAAGTCCCACTTTGAAGCCCAGATGATGTGTCACTTGAACCAGCAAATTTGCCAGGCTGGAAAGCCAGATTCAAATAAATAGCCCACTATTTCCAGGTTCAGGGAAGTACTTTACTTTTTTCTAGCCAGGTCTCAGCCAGCCAAACCCCCACTGTCAATTCCACTAATTGTGGTGAGAAACTCCACATTCCCTTGTAGCCTTGGAAAATCCTTTGTAGCCTTGTGCATACACTCACTCCCAAGCCCTACCCCCATCCTGAGGCAGAGCTTTCCTCTCCTCTGGGGACATGCCTACCCTACAGGTACTCATGATGGCTTTAAGAACAGCTTCCAGGATAGAAGTTAGCCTCAACTGACTGTATTTATAAAATACTGGCTCAGCCTACCATGGCTGGGAATTACATGCCAGCCCCTACCCTGCCATTTTTGGCTGAGATTTTAGAAAAAAAGCAGTAGTGAGACAGATAGAGAAATATTGGGATAACTCAGGTCTGGTTTAAGCAAGGATGTAGTGCTGACCCTCCCTTGTCATGGCCAGGAGTGAAAAGCTCCCTGCAGTGGACAGTGAGGATGTGTTCTTCGCTGCTGGCGTGCATGGGTTTCTCAGTGAGGTCTGATAGAGCTGCTTGTCATTTTCTGTGTATTGCACATCTTATCCACCAGATGCAACTGGAGAATCTCATTTAGGTACACCAGTTTGGATCACTGGCGGGACTCCTTTCTGGCCATATAGTTCATATTATACTTGGCATTACTCAGCAATCAATACTTGCTCCAATGCCCCTTTAGTTTCTACATGGACCCTCTGCAAGCATTGAGAGAGATTTAGACTGGTTGAGACACCTCTTTATATTTTTCAGGATTTGAAGGGGGGATATTAGGCATCTTGGTGCTTGCAGCGGGAAATGTGATATTGGATGGGTGGGAATTGACTTGAGACAAAATTACAGTTCTCCAGGCCAGAGACTCTTTTGATAACACTGCAAAGCATAGCACTGAGCACAGGAGTGGTACTTAGATAATATTAACCCACATAAAATGCACAAGCCATTTTGTATTGCAGGGTGTTGTTATATATGGTTTTAGTTAAATATGATTGTGAGTGTGTATTATATATATATAGATATAGATATATATAGTATCTTGTTTTCTGTTCCCTGCCTGGGTAAGCTGGAAAGGGACGGGAGATACTGCACATAGGCAGCTACCCAGGGCTTTTGTTAGGCCTGTTGTCTGAGGATACTCCAGTTGTTTAGTGTAAATAAAAGTGCATGGGGGTCAGCCACATAAGTAGGAGGCATCAGACCCCTAGCCT